TGTGTGTGTGTGTGTGTGTGTGTGTGTGTGTGTGTGTGTGTGTGTACGGGCAGTCAGACCGCATAATTCAGCTCTTGAATTACGAAAAATAAAAAGTTGAAACTGTGGTAGAATATTCCACGGATATGTGCGGTGCCGCAGATTCAAAATTAACTTCCAGGTCGCACTCTCTCCGGACCTGATACCTCAGGTTTATTTTTGGGCCAACTGTCCAAACCCTAAACGAACGAAGATGCGGACCTGAAACTACGGAAGTAATCATGCAGTGCGATCTAATTAGCTTCCGAAATTTATCTTTATCTATGAGGCTCAATCATAAATTCGAATTGGTTTTATATTTTAGAGTAGCAAGTTATAGAAGTGAGATTTTAAGATCCTCCCTTCCAACGCAGATGAATGATTTGAAGCCAGTTTTCAAACGCTCTAACTTTTGATGTGCAACTAATGCATTCAAATGCGGATAAACCCGAAACGAAACAAACCATAAGTCCGAAAACCTTGGTACTTTCATGCGCTGAATGATTTAAACGACACAGTATGACATGCTGGCATAATAGCTTGCCGCAAAACATGTTTGCGTACGCTGTTTGGTGCGCTCCACTATTTGTACAAGTGCGCTTCTGAAACTATGCATGCCGGCTCAGGCAAACTGGCTTTTGCTCATTGAATTTAATGCTTGGACCTACAAAACTCCGTGGATTGTTGCTGGTGAGTTCGCTGAGACGGATTCTTTTGATTTTGTACAATTCGAAATCAATCTCGCACAGCTGCCGTTCATCTGCAAATTTACAAGTGCTCTTAGCAAGTAGTTGAAAGTCAGTATTTGTATGCTTGCACTCAGATAAGAAAGCGACTCAAGCATTCTGCACTATGCTATATTCCATTGGCAGTGCTTAACCTGGCGAGAGGAGAGGAGGGGACTATGCGCCCTGCTTTTTTCGTGGAGCTTTTAATGAATCTTTCTAGCATTTCAGTTGGCATTAATGCGCCTTAATGATTTATAGAGAAATATGTCATGACAAGTCTACTTATATATATGTATATGTATATATATATACTATATGCTTATACATATATATATAACTATATAGCAAGTAGTTAAAAGGCAGCGCATATATATGTATACAGAGAATTAAATAGTATGTGTTTGACATAATAGTTTAACTGAACAACACTAAAACGAGGAAACGGATGCTTTGTAAACGTTTTCTGTTAGCCCGATTGAGACACGTTTTGTGAAAATTTTCTGCTATCAAAATTTTCAAAAACAAACTGTATGAAAATAAAATGGCTCGTGTTGGCCGAATGCACTCCTCGAAGCCAAGATCGAGAAAAACTTCTCGAATTGTCGCTGTAGCTTTTTTCGCAGTAGTCTTTGACGATGTATCGATGCGGATGACTCGTCCGAGATGTCGAAAGTAGGAGATAAACGTCGAAGAACATTTGTGATAGGCATCTAAACGTTTCTGAAATTTTTTATTTCCATTATTTTTCCATATTTTGGAGACAGTTTAATATAAAATCTCCTCGGCTTTGAAAGCACAGCTTCATTCCAGGTTTGACGTCATCGGAAGCGGCTTTAGAGATTTCCCACCTCCAGTCGTCCTTTATCGGCCTCATCAACACCTTGGATATTCAGCCCGGATTCGGTGCTGTCACTTCTGTTACGCCTTTTGACACCGCCCATAGCATTCGTAAGCAGTGACCACTCATCAGTGACATTGATTTCAACAGCGCATAGGACTGGATGCTGAAATTCTTAAAATATACTTTGCGTGCGGACTGTTTTTTGCACTCCGCACGACTTATGCCCAGCGAAGGATGTTTCCGCATTTTCCAAAGACAGAAAAACTGGTTCTTGAAGTCATAACAGGTGTCAGCAGCTTACTATTTCTTCAAAGATAGCGAGGTGTCTGTCGTGGCTTATCTGATTGAACGCTTCACATTTAAGGATGCTGTTCAGCGCCGGTATGATGTCAATTATGAATCGTTCGTTTGAGCTCGACGATATCTGAGCGGCCATCATCGACAACACCCATTCTACTGCCAGTATCGAGTGATCGTTCTGGCAAGAATCACAAGTGAGAATAGTTAGCTACAAAATAAGTATAAGGGTATGCGAAGATTTGTAGGAGCTATTCTAGAATTATTTCTGCGCTTTCGTTTACTTGAAACAAGACAAAACAGTCCGCTTCTCTGGACAGAGTAGTAACGCATTTGCAGACGCATTAGTAAGCATTGGCAAAGCTGTCGAGTGATCCTTCTTCCAATCGTCACTTGCAGAAAGAAAAGAGCTTGAATCCCACCCAGCATGCTAGTTGTCTCCTACTAGCCCAGTGATGTTTTCACCAGAGATGGCCCCAAATTACGAACATTGTGCTGCGTTTTTATAGATACTATACGCTACTAAACGGTGATATCATTTCCGACAATGAATGAAGTTACATGTTATTTATAATAAACAAATTTTAAACAGTATAATGACGAGGGTAAAAAAAGCTTCGTGGCGTCCGAAAAGCAAGCTTACCAAACCTAGACTCCCGCTTGTATCTTACGACTTGTTGGGTTCGGACGCCTCATATGCTTCCCTCGTCACCCTAACCATGAGCAAACGTTGGACATCGGCGGTGTTCTCCACGGTTTCGGATATCTTACTCGGCAAATATGCGAACACAATTTCTTCAGTACTGATTGTTGCAAAACCAAATCGATTGACTAATTCCTCCAGCAGCAATCCTTTTTGACTTCCTGGACCGCCTACAAAACATTGTGAAGCACTAATAATTTTTTTGTAACCTTTCCCATAACCAAGTTTTGTGCTTGTGAAGTCCATCGCCATTTCAGATTTTTGCTTCAGAATATTTGTACCTGCACATCAGATTTTGATAATTTTTAACTTACAAGTTCTCTTACTTTTCACACCATAAAGCGAAGAAATTCATTTGAATGAGGGGACAGAATGTCAAAGATAGAATATACAAAGGTATGCGAATTCCAGACCGAAAAAGAAGACTATTGCGTGGTTTTGCTGAAAGTTTCGATTGATTCCAGTACCAATATGAACTGGCAGACGAGGTGATTCCTTTATCCGTGGCGTCTCAATCTGATCACCTATTTTTCGTCCAAAACGTGTACTTGGTGCACAGCCCATCTGAAATTCAAATGACATTCCTGCGTAGTCTGATAAAGTGGTGCGGCCGGATTTTTCAAAATAGCAGGCATTTTTGTAAGTTTTCAGCGTGAGGCACTGCAGGTTTCTCGAAATAAAACGAATAAGCTAAAACATTTGCGTCATAAGCGAGAACTTGTTGATGATATAATAAATACTGCAAACAATAATTTCGTTGTACAGTGAAATTTCCCACACCCTCACGAGGCGAAAAAACGCGCCTTTGCCAGCTGCTTTGCCTAGCCATCTGGCAACGCAAACTGTCGAACATGACGATTCTTTTTTATGCTTTTTTGCTGTGCTGCTACAGCGAACTGAAGCGCATATTGCCGAGAGGTCGTCCGTGTGTGTTCGGGAGTGTTATCCAACTTTGTCATCCACTTTCAAATCAGTAGCCAGGGAATCTGGGAGACTGAAATTTTGGGGTCATGCTCCGATCCGATATGTCATCTCCTGATTTAAAATCTTTGCTCATGCGGCCTAGATTTCGCATACTGATCCCGAAAAAAATATACAAACTTTGGTGCGAAACGATTTGGGGAACCAGGTAAGATAGAAAGTTGGAAATTTGCAGGGATATTCTCCGTTCATGTGTGAGTTAAAAATTTCAAAATCAGCTATAGGGCACTGTTATGCAGCTTATTACAGTTATGTTAAATTTCGCAGTTGAAACTGTGCTAATTCGAAAACTAGCTGGAAAACAGTGGCTGAAATTATGTCAGAATATTTATCGTCCATTTAGAATATCGTGTGCCTAAATTGAGTTCCAATTTACACTTGCGGCACGACATAAGGAATTTAAAGATATTTGTAGCGAAATAGTTGTTTCGCTTACCAGGCAAGCTGCGAAGCTGAAACTTTGCAAAGGCATTCTATATTCGCGTAGCCTTAACTCAGCTTGAAGGTGAAATCTCATACACTCAAACACGACAGATACTCAATTCTATCGCGATTCAAAAGCGGGTGCATTTTGCAGATCTCATAATCCTCTCCGGACTTCCTTCAAATTTGCATTTTTTCAACGAATGAGCATTCACCAAAAAAACAATCGAGTTTCATGCAAAAAACTGATAATTATACACGCTGGAGGTCCATGCGGCCCCATAATGCAATACCTCTATCCCAGCCGGAGCCCTTTCCCCTACATGCGAGGAAAGGTCAAAACATAGCCAATATGAGTCAAAATGTAAAAGTACGGCACAAGAACCATTTCTGCTGTTAGCGATCTGTACGCTCAGCGCAAAAATACATGATCGCACCTGCAAGCCTACTGCGTTACAACCTGAGTTGCATGGTTATGCAAATGCAAATAAGTATATAGTTGAGAGGTTGTTAGTATATATATATATATATATGTACATATATAGTATATATATATACTAACAAGTATATATATATATACTAACAACCTCTCAACTATATATATATATATACGTGTTCCCACATTCAACCCAGCAGCTACGAAGGCTAGGAAGCTGGAATTCCACAAGAACATTCCTAGTCCACGTAACATCCAAGCAGCTTAAAAACAACGTTTAATTTTACCTGAGTCCCACGTATGACCACTTAAAAGAATTCGTATAAATTTGTTGGCGATAAAGCGATTTCGAGAAGCACAGCAATTAAGAAGTGTAAATTTCACAAGGACGTTCTATTTCCTTGCGTAAGCTAAAAATTTCCATTTCAGCTTTAACGCACACATACGTGGAGTATAAATCAAGGTTGAAATTTCGTCGTCGCTGGCAAAATTGTGGAACTGTGCTAATTAGGATGCTCTCACTCTGCGAAAACATCTACTTTCCATACGTGAACACGTAGGCGTAAAATGAGCCTTGGCGCACGTTTGTGTCGCAAGCTCGGAGACATCTACTCTATATGAAAAGAAAAGCGTTTCGTCAACCAGTAAAGCCGGGGAATCGGAATTTTATGAGAAAATTGTGTGCCAGTGTTCGAAATAAGTATTTCAAATTTAGTTTTAAAGCATGCTTAGGTCTTGCGAGCGTGCGAATGAATATCTAGTTCGGGACACTGCTGGCACCTAAATAATTCGGTAACCAGACTGAGCAAAGAGCAGTATTTTTCTGAAGATGTTTGCTGTTCATGTGGAAGCCAGCAAACATGAAATGAGCTTCTGCCTAAACACAGGCCTTGCGTACAGGCGCTTCGAATTTTGAAATTGCTGCATCGCAGTCGCATTCCAGTAGTGCAGGCGATTTCTCCAGAGGGTGGAATCAGGCAAAAATGCATGATTGCACCAACTGGGCTGGCCTCTTCCTGGGTTGTATCATAAACAAATGCAAAAATTCGTTTTATCCAGTGTTTGTCTGTGTGTGCTTGTGTGTGTGTGTGT